CGCCGCTGCATGTAGCAGGCCAAGAGCCGCAGCACGGCCAGCTTGGCGCCCAGTGGCCCCGGCACGGCCCTCAGGGAGAAGGTGTCCAGCCGCCCGCGGTCAGGCGCGTAGCACACGAGGCTGGGTGGCACAGGCGAGGCGTCAGGGGCCGCCTGGGCCCTAGACACCCTCCCACCCGGCGTGCCTCCTTGTGCAGTGGCTTTTTTTTTTTTTTTGAGTCAGGGTCTCACTCTGCGGCCCAGGCTGGAGTGCAGGGGCACGCTCCTGGCCACCGCAGCCTCGACCTCCTGGGCTCGGGCGATCCTCCCACCTCAGCCTCCCAAGTAGCTGGGACGACAGGCGTCACCGCGTCTGGCTAATTTTTTTGATTTTTATTTTTTATAGAGACGAGGTCTGGCTGGGGTGTCCAGGCTGGTCTCAAACTCCTGGGCTCAATAATCCTCCCGCCTCGGCCTTCCAAGGTGCTGGGATGATGACAGGCTTTAAAGCCTACTGTGCACCAGCCACCCCCTGCCACAAGTCCAGCTCGGACCTTTCAGCAGGTCCTGGTCAGGCCTCGACATGCCCGTCTCAGCTGATGGCCGCTCCAACCCTCCGACTCGGTCCAGACTCCAGCCCCTTGTGACCTCGCAATACCGCCACCGCCCGTCTCACTCACCCAGCCCCTCCTCGCTGGGCCCCCATGCCACTCCTGCTAGGGAGGTCGTGCTAAAAATGAGAGCCAGGTTCTCCTCTTCTGGCCAAACCCAGCACCGCCTGCAAAGTTCTCTGACATCGGCCTCCCTGCCTCCTAAACGTGCCCCCAGATTCCACGCTGGTCCTCAAATCCACCATGCTCAGTCCTACATCGGGAACTCTGCCCGTGCTGTTCCCTGTGTCTCAAATGCTGTTCCCGATAGACTCCTTCCCCCTCCCCCCAAAGACAGGGTCTGGCTCTGTTGCTCAAGTGGGGTGTGCCGTGGTGCAATCATAGCTCACGGCAGCCTCCAACTCCTCGGCTCCAGTGATTCTCCAGCCTTGGCCTCCCAAATGTAAATGTAAATGTAGAGATGGGGTCTTGCTATGTTGCCCAGGCTGGTCTCGAACTGCTGGCCTCAAGGGATCCTCTGGCCTGACCCTCCCAAACTCCTGGGGTTACAGGCGTGAGCCACCACGCCGGCCAGGATGGTTCCTCCTCGTCATTCTGGTCTTGCTCAGAGAGCCCGTTCCCTGCCCATGCTACTGCAATTTGCCTCCTAACTGCCGCCTGGCCTGTTTCACTTCATTTGTTCAGCACTGTTCACCCCACCGGGCAGTGAGCACCGGTCCATGTGCACAGCAGGTGCTTAATAAACGCTCGAGCGATGACTGTACTGTAATGGGGGCGGGGCCAGGAGCCCCAGAGCTTACCCTCCTGGGGGTCTCAGGGCCACATGGGAGCCGTCTCGGAGCAGGACGCCACTGCCCCCGTCAGAGAGCAGGTAGCCAAAGCCGTACTTGCTGGAATAATCCACCCACTTGGGGGCCCAGAGGGTGGGCCACTGCTCTCCTGGGGGGTCCTGATTGGCTGGACACAAAGATGGGTGAGCTGAGCCAGGGTCAGACGGGGCTGGGCGGAGGCTGAGGATCGTCTCAGGGGCTCTGGGCGGGGGGGACATCAGCAGAGTCCAAGAGTCGCGGACTCTTGCCCCAAGGGGGGAGCTGGTCAAGGACTCTGTCTCATTTTACTTAAAAGTTGCAGCCAGGCGTGGTGGCTCACACCTCTAATGCCAGTGCTTTGGGAGGCCGAGGAGGGAGGATCACTTGCGCCCACGCCCAGCCTGGGCAACAGAGCGAGACCCCATCGCTACAAAAACAAAAGCTGGCCGTGGTGGCGCCTGCAGTCCCAACTTCTCGGGAGGCTGAGGTAGGAGGACTGCTTGAGCCCAGGACGTCGAGGCTGCGGCGAGCTGTAGTCACACCACTGCACTCCAGTCTGGGCGACAGAGCCAGGCCCTGTCCCTAAAAAAACACAAAAACAACAGAAAAACGGATCCATGCCATGAGGGACCCTGAAATGAATCTTGGGATGGCAAAAAGTGCCCGTCGTGGAAACCTGGTGGCATCAAATAACATGTGGAGTTTCTCGGTTGGGACCGCGGCATCCTGGTCATGGGAGGTGACATCACCCAAAGCCAGTGGGGAGGGGAGGGACTCTCTGTGTTATCCTTGCAACCTTTCTGTGAATCTCCAAGGACTTTTTTTTACTGTTTATATATACACATATTTATTTATTTGAGGCAGGGCCGAATAAAGCCGCCCAGGCTGGGGGGTAGTGGCACAATCGTGGCCCACCGTAGCCTCGACGTCCTGGGCTCTGGTGACCCTCCCGCTTCAGCCTCCTGAGTAGCTGGGACTACAGGTGCCACCAGGCCTGGTTCATTTTTATATATTTTTGTTTGTTTGTTTGTTTTTGTTTTGTTTTTTGTTTGTTTGTTTGTTTTTTGAGTTGGAGTCCCACTCTGTCGCCCAGACTGGAGTGCAGTGGCCTCTCCCAGCCACCACAGCCTCGACCTGCTGGGCTCCGGCAATCCTCCCGCCTCAGCCTTCCAAGTAGCTGGAACTACAGGCGCGCTACCACGCCCGGCTAATTTTCAATTTATTGTAGAGATGAGGTCTCACCAAGTTGCCCAGGAGGGTCTCGAACCCGCGGGCTCAGGCAATCCACTTGCCTCGGCCTCCCAAAGTGCTGGGATGACAGGCTGAGCTACTGAGCCCGGCCTATACATATTTTTTGAAGATGGAGCCTTGCTGTGCTGCTCGGGCTGGTCGCAACTTCCTGGGCTCAAGCAATCCTCCTGCCTCAGCTTCCCAAAACACTGGGATGACAGGTGTGAACCACCGTGCCCAGCCTGGATGAAGAACCTCAGAGACCCCAGACCCTGAATAGCCAAAGCTGCTCCCAGAGCACCAGCCCACCTGCTCGTACACACACGGGAAGGCTCGTCCGATGGCCTGAAGTCACTGTGCTCTGAGGTCTCCCTCATCCGCCCACCTTGTCCCCAGGGGAGCCCCAGAAATACCCGGGAGGGCTCTGGATGGGGAAAAAGGGTCACCCTGTGGGCGGGCTGGGCTCCTACCCGGGGGGCCAGCGTCCAGGCAGAGCTGCAGCCTTCTGATAGCAGCCTCCACTTCCGGCTGTGGGCTGCCCTGGGGTCCTGCGGAGGCAGATCTCTGTGGGGGCGGGCGGGCCAGCCCCCCAGGCTGCTGCCCCTGTAGCGTCTCCTTCTCAGCCCCAGGGATTCTGGGCGTCATCCCATTCCACAGGCAGGAATGCAGAGGCCAGGAGAGGGGCTGAGACCCTGGCAAGGCGCAGTCCACACCCCCCTGCCCGCCTGAGACCGGGGTCTGCTCACCTGCTGGGTCACTCCGGAGGGTCCCATGTGCAGTCAGGTGGACGGGGGCCTCGGGGCAGGGAGCCCCC